GTTGTTTGGCGGGTCCGGGCTGGGGATTCGAACCCGCCACCTTAGGTGTACGTGGCTGGCGCCTTAGCCGGTTGAGCTATAGGCGCTGAGCCTTTAATTGGGTTTAAAGTTACAACAACTACTTGATAAGGAGAAGTTACAGCAGTTCTTACAGTGTCAGGAATAGGACACAGGGCCTCCTCTCTTTTTTATTCACTATTATTTGGAAGTCCCAGAGACATCACAAGGACAAAATTTAGAAATGACCAAAATTGTCATTATCCATAGATGACATGATTGTCTACATAGAAAACCTGCAGAAATTACTTGAGCAATTAGGAAAGTTTGGTAAAACTGCTGTGTACAGAGCTAGCAGTTTCTGTTCACTATCGACAGTCAGAAACTACAGTTAAAATTGGAGGAAGAAAGATATTTAGAGTAGCTTATTAAAAGGCACATACCTAGGAATAAAGCTTAGCAAAAAAAAGTGTGATAAAACTTGTTGAAAAAGAAAATTCATTGTCATAAAGGTGTTCTTACCAAATTGATCTGTAGGCTCAGTGTGATTTTAATTAAAATGTATGTTTCCTTGGAAGTTGGAAAATGGATTCTGAAATGTGTATTTAAGTACAAGGGCTTTGAAGAGCCAATATACTGCTCAAGAACCAGGTCAGAGGAAAGGAAGGCATTTGTCCTACCTAATGACAAATCCTTAGTGCAGAATGTCCCAGAGATAGACTGACCTGTGGAATGGAAGAAAACCCCCTAAAGACTCCCATCTGTGAACTAGGTATATGTATTAATAATAGAACTAGTATAGCAGATCAGTGAGGGAGTGGATGGTTTGGTAAATGCTGCTTAGATAGTCATTTAATATGAAAAAAAGAAAATCCCTTCCATTTTATATATACAAATATATATTCTAGATGAAGCAAACACTTAAATGTGAAAGTGCAAACTTAAGTACTTGTAGAAGAAAATATAAAGCATCTTTATAATTTTGAGATAGAGAAGAATATTTTTAACAATGGAAATATGATAGGAACAATATTACTTTAGCCTGGATTCTAATGAACTTGTCCTTAAAAAGTTCCTTTGCAGTTTACTATGTTAAACTAATTTAAATTGCACATGAACTTTATGGACACCTGTACTAACTTGAATAAAGCTTTCTATAGTAAATGTGGCTGAGAATCTCTTATTTTGCTGAAATGGCACATTAGGACTCCAGATGATTGCTTAGCTTTATTCACTCTCCATGACTGCTTTAGATTTGAATTGCCAGGTAGCCAGAGGGAGAGGAGTATAATAACAATTGTCTCTGCACATGAAGAATTCATACAAGAATTCATACACTGATTAAGTTGAACCAGATTAAAAATAAAAGTGAAGACAGTATCTTCCAGGAAGTAAAATCATATTGAGCAAATATTATAAGTGGTAAATAAAAGTTACTGTAATTATTAGAGTAAAAAAAAACACCTTTGCTTTGAAATCTCACTCCCTATAGATACGGGACAAGTGATCTGGCCCCAGACTTTATTCGATCAGGGCATGGGGCTGGTGACAAGTAACCCCAAGCAGAGATTCTCTGGTGCCCTGGGTAGAAAAAACACTTTTGTCTATCAGGAAATAATTTGGAGTACTTCCTACTTGTCATGTAGTGACCAGGGACACTTAATCTAGGTTTCTGCTTTCCAAAGGAGCCATCAGGGAAAGAGTGAGGGAGCCCTGCCCAGAATTAGCTAGATTGGTGGTAAGGCCTACTGGCTGCAGGGAGCAGTGGTTCCATGGACTGTGTGAGTCTGTGCTCTCCTCATCTCTCTACCCTCTGCATAGGGTGCTTACTTGCCCTGGAAAACGTAGGATTGCAATGAAAAGAACGAGTAGTATCGTGGAAGCTCGAGCAGCTCTGATGTGGGGCCTGGCTGTTTAACAAAAGGTGGTCACAAGCCTGTCTCTACTAGCACAGGAGAGAAGAGAACTAGGCATCCAGGAGCTGGAGATGAGAAACGTTCAGAGGAATAGGAGAGGAAGATGTTTTATACTCTAAGAAGCTTGGAGGTCGGGTGAGGGCACCACTGTCCTGTGGTGTAGCCAGCCTGTTGGCCATCCAGACACTGCAGGTGTCTGTTGACAGGGGCCAATGCAGATTGGACATCTGGAACAGATCTGCAAGCTGAATGCTGAAGCAGAGGACTAAAACCCAGCAGGCCACTCTGATTACATGTGACAGCCATCTCTCCTGAAAATACATTTGGAGACCTAAAGAAGAGGGGGTGCCAACTTGGCAAGCGGGACCAGTCACCCAGCGAAGACGGTGCTCGTTTGA